TTTTGTGTATATCCTGTAAATATAAAAAAACAGATCTATCAATAATAAGGATCAACTGGTAGCCCAAAAACGGAAACTTCCGCTGTTCATGCTTGCATTTGATAAATGCGAAAAATTTAATATTTTTTTATATTATATATATAAAATTAGAGGTTTCTTAAATTTAGTAGTTAAGATCGAGTCAATCAAAAGAACTGGGAAAATAATACTTCAGTGAAAAAAGTGTTACGGATTTAACCACACCAAAAACTTTTGCAGAAAAACGTCAAGATGGGTTAAATGTGAAGAAATTCATCTTAGTGTGAACTGTACAGATATGAAAGATGCCCCTGCTGTTTGTGTAAATTTCAAGGGTGATAGCCACAGCCACAGAGGTGCACGTTACCAGCTTGTAACAGAGGTACCAGCTAGCTACAGAGACTGTATAATAGCAAAAGAACTGCAAAAGAAAAGAAACGTTGCTGCGAGACCACAAAGAAAAATTGTAATTCAAGCTCTTTTACTCAGCCAAAGAAACCTTGACTAATTCGACGTTGTAGAGCGGTCTAAGAATGGTAGCAAAATTAGTAGTTTGAAACCTACTGAAAGCATTGAAACGCCAAGAATAGTGCAATAAAAAACAAATAGACATATGCGGAAGTAGCTAAATACAATAATAATGATTACTTCAGTGATAAATTTAATATTAGTTCCTTAAAAAGGACATTGAATGTACTCACACTAGACGGATTAAAACTGAATGTAAATAAACTAATGTGTGATAGAATTCAAGTGATAGAAAATAAGTCAAACCAAATAATAAAAAGAAAATGACGATTGAAATAAGAGTTATAACCTGGAATGCAGATGGAATATTAAATTACACTCAAGAACTAAAGTACTTTCAACACAAAGAAAAAATTAACTTGGGACTAATATCTGAAATTCATTTTACTAAAGAAAGCTACATATATTAACATTAGGGCATATACTCCATATAATGCGGTACATCCTGAAAATAGGTTTAAAGGGGGGAGGACAAATATATTTATAAAAAAAGTAGACTATATACTAGATATAATCTAGCTATCAGATTGGCAATCAAAATAAGACTAACAAATTTATATTACAAGTGCAGAATGTGGTCCGAAACAACAAATTTTGCAAAGATAATAATAATGACATGTATTTGTATCCTGTTGAAATTAGAAATCTAATCAACCAGAAACAAAAGGCTCGGAAAATGTCGCAATAGTCACGGACCTCTTCGTATGAACTGAAATTAATCTAGTTGTCTAATGAGCTTAAAAAATTATTAAGAGGCAGGAAAAATGAAACAATGAAAAATTAACTTTCTAATCTATTAGCCAATAAAGACTCATATTACTTGCTATGGAAAGAAACAAAAAGAATGAAGAATCAAAAATTTCAAATTCCCTCTCCAAAAGAAAAGGACTCGACTTGGGTCATTTCAGATAAAATCAAAGCTATATACTTCGCAGACTACTTTAAAAATATATTTACGTCGCAACAAATAGCCGGAGAAAATGCTTGTACTCAAGCAAACCGTAATAACTTAACCTAAGTTAAATATCGGCGACTGAAACTTCACAAATAGACAAATAAACAACATTGCAATATACAGCATTGGTAATAAATAACCAACCAGTTAAAATTTCAAACGAAGCGAAATACTTGGGCATGACCCTGAACGCTAAGCTGAGCTGGAAAGCCCATATTAAAAAGAAAAAAGAAGAACTAAGCATCAAAATTAGAAAGCTCTATTGGATACTGGGAAAAAACTCGAAAGTGTAATTACACAACAAATTACTAGTTTACAAACAGACGATCAAACTAATCTGCATTTACAGCATTTAGCTCTGGGATTACACCAAGTAACTAAAAAATTAACTATAAAACTATTCAAACTTTTCTAAATAAAATCCTTCGAACAATAACTAATGCACCGTGGTATGTGAAGAACAACACGTTACACAGCGATTTAAATATACCTACAAATGAGGAACAAATAAAAAACTCTTCGATCAAACATTAAAAAGAATCCACTAAAATGGCAATATTCAAATTCGCAACATTTAAGAAAATAATGTAGTAGTCTCAAAAAATGCTCGATAGGTTTTACGAACTCGGTTGCAATCAAATAAGGAAGTTTAAAAAAATCCGCTACAATAAAACGAGTAAAAAAGTTTCAGTCGGTACAAACCGACTAAATAATACCCTGCATTTTAACAATCTGGGTTTAAAAATTTGTTCTTGAAATATCGAGAATTAGCTTTCATTGTGAAATGGCAATTACTCGAACCTGTCAAACCACTTTACTGATTTTATGTCTTACTTATAACTGTACACGACTGTTAAGTTTCATGAATCTAGCTTTAATAGTTTTTAAATATTTAAAATTTTCTTTTGGAGTTGTATGGCAGCTACCCGATCCTGTCAAGCTTTAATTTTATTTCAAATATTTAAAATAAACTTTTGGAGTTGTATGGCGGATAATATTTTCCGAATATAAGGAGAACGTAATTGGAAAATCCTTTACAAAATTTGATATTAATATCTTTATTAGTTTTTGAAATATTTAAAAAACGCCGTTAAATTGTATAGCACCCTACGTTGGTACATAAGAAACAACTTGCGAAAATTTGGTGCTGATTGCATTAGCCGTTTTTGAGTTATCGTGCGATCGGGTGAACGAACGGACGGACGGGCAGGTCTAAATCAACGCAGAATTTTCCACTGAGCAAGAATATACATGATCATATATATATGTCCATATCAGAGACGACTCCTTCAAGTGGTTACAAACTCCATACCAAAATGAATATACCCTTCACTATTATTTTTGACAACGCTGTATGCCAGCTGTTTATCAGTTATGAATTTAAAAGTAACAACTAATTATAGTAATTTAACAGAAAAAGTACCAAAAATATACATCCAAAACAAAAGAAAATGTGCACTTAAACGAATGAAAGTTCATATAAAAAATTTTTATTGATAAAATTTTTTTGCGCTTATGCATATAAAATTCTACAATTACGCGTATTGCACTTACCCGAGCTAATTCTTGAAAACTGTATAGGAATGGTACATGAATAATGAACTTTTCCGTACAAACAGCACGTACTTTGTTAAATTGCTATGTAATATATGTATGTACATACCTACATATATAGGTATATATTATTTAAATATGAACTTATTTTGCTGAAGATGTGTTAATAAAACCAAAAGCAATTTAAATTTGAAACGATTTTTACAATAAACTAAAGTTGAACTCAAAATTTTAATTTGGCAATACTCTGTTTTGAAGAGCGACCTACACCAATTTTTGATTTTAATATCTTTGCTTTCAATAAACAAAGAAAATTATGCTGTTAATTTTAAAATATGTTTAGTCCTGAAAATGCATAGTACAAACTATAAATTATTAATCAAATGAATATAAATATTTCACAGCTTTAAAGTAAAAAAATCTGATGTGGTCAGCACATAACCGACTGCAATGTGTATTGTCTACTTAAGTGAAAGTATTATGGAATATTGTAAAAATGCCTGTTGTATTTAACAATGCCTGTTTTTTCAATTTTTAGGGCATTAATAAGCTAACATACCTAGAAAAAAAGTAAATTTGGCTCTTGGCAGCGTTTCCGCTTGTGCTACACGAATTCCCTGAAATGCTCACCAGTTAGTTTCGGTAACAACCAGAACTTAAGTATCAAATTTGATCTGATATTTCCAAAAAAATTTATATATTCTTTGTTTTAATACCTCCTCGAATTTGAATATTAAATTTCAATGAAATCGGTTGATTATTTCTCTTTACATACGCAAAAATATATATTTGACCCGTAGTAAACGTCCAGTTGCTGAAACCTGATTTTTTCAAAAAGTTGGGAGAATATTTGCTTGCAGTTCCCAAGGGCTAAAATTTTCTCAAAAGCTGATCAATCCGTGCAATAGTCGAAACAAAATTACATATAAAACTTCATCAAAATCGGTTCAGTCGAACTTGAGATACACGCGTGCACACACAGACAGGCAAACCGACCGTCCGACACCTCTCTAAAAACAGTTTATTTACACATTCCTACTATGATGGAGTACGTTCCCACCGAAAACTCGATATGCAAAATTTGTTGCCATCACATAACCTCCCTTATTGTATGCAATTGCGGTCAGTAATTATAGTTACACGATAATCCTATAGTTATATTACAGGTTCCATAGAGTCTATACATATCGTATAGGTCGTAAATATAAATCGGTTTGAAGGCTGTTTTTTGTGTTCCACATGTCTTTCCTGATAGTTCGTTATTGCCCACATATTTTAACTTTAAAAGTATGTTCTAATATTTAGAAATAAATAATGAAAAGATCTTGATAAAACTAAAGATGAATATACAAATAAAGATGACAAATTGTATCACATTTGTAAAGATACTATTTAACTTCATATCTAATACGTAATTTCATGGAAAAATAGTTGTTATATTAATTACACTACATGTATGGAAAAGATCTATATTAGCACTTAAAATTAGTTTTAGCATATAAAGTCAATGTGCAACCATGTTGGCAACCATGTTGATTGCAAAAACAATCGTCTTTCATTTTCAAATATACCTAAAATAAAAGAAAAATAGTTTTCTGGATAATATTCATGTAAATTTATATTTTTGATCCCTAAATATATATATACGTATGTCTAATTATGTACAATTATTTACAAGATTTTAAATACATATTTGCAAGAAACACAAAATGAAAATCATGCATTTTTTTCAATGCAGAAATGATTGTTTATAAAAATCTAAATTTTAATAAAAACAGAGACAAAAAGTGTAAAGTAATACTAAATAAAAATTAATAATGAGCAATTTAAACAAAAGAAAAACGGTGAATGAAAACAAATACATAATTTGAAAAACAAAATTTTGCAGAAAATTAACAATATAAATCATTGAAAGCAAATCTTTTGAAACGTTTTCCGTACTCACATGTAGTTTGGCTGATGGAGGTGACACAACTAAGCAAATTCTCATGGTCGCTTTTAAAAATTCTTCCCTTTTTAAATTCAAATTTTTCGAAACTGGCAGAGATTCATGGCAATGTTTTGAAAAGGGGTTTAAATTTCTTTTGGATTTGCTTTGAGGTGAAAATTTTGTACTCATATTACTATAACTCTTAGTGCTCTTAGTATTATAGCTGGCTTCCTTTGCATACAAATTTTTATTTTCAACAGGAGAGTTGCACAGTGTTATCATTGTTTTATATTCATTAGAGGAACTTATCAAATTATTTTCTAACTTACAGTGACAAGACTGGGAACCCGTAAGTTTAGACATTGTATTTTCATGAGTTAACAATGTTGATAACACATTAGGGAATGTACTGCTTTCATTTAACTTTGAATCATCAACTACGTTTGACTTTTCAGAACTTTGGAAGCCTTCTTTAAAAGCATTCGAAAATAAAACATTCTCATCTAGTTCGCGATCGGTTGCATACCTATTTTTAAATATTTCCGGCAGAAATGGATTATTTGGAGATGTTTTTCGACATATATTCCCATGCGCTGGTAAATTTTTATCTGGTGATTGATTTCTTGGCAAATTCAATGGAGTAGTACACTGTGCAATTGGACTGGGTACTGTAGTTTCAAAACTTTTTACTTTCTCAAATTGCATTTGAAATGATCTTCGGGGTACCGGTGGCGGAATTGGTAGTTGGGGTGATGTTTGTGTTTCAAAACTTTTAATGGAATCATTGGATTTAAATACAAAATTTTGATATCGTTGGACAGGAGATGAAGGAGCCTCGATACTGCCACCTGTAAAACTTTCACCACTAAAACTGGTATTTGTTGACGTTACTTTTGTACTGGCAGATGTGCTTAAATCACTACCTAAAGGATCATCATAGTCCGCTAAATGCATCGGCGAACTATTATCGTCATTATTGTAAACAAAGCCAGATTTATCTTTAGCAGCTGCATTTGTTTCTGCATTTTGCGATGATGTAATTGTAACGAGTTGTTTTTGGGAATTATTATATTGCGCGGTCGACGTGCTGACCAATTCGTGATGTATTGAATGTGATGGCTGCTGTTGATAATATTGTGGTTGCTGATGTCCATTTTGACTACTACTATGAATTGTAATATCACTTATCTCACTGTCTATGTTCAAATTACTTAAAATGGAAAATTCATGATCATCACTATAGTAAGTTCCAGTACTTATGGTTCCCGTTATACTATTGAAATTACCACTACCTAAATCACTACTGCTAATATTGCTGGTGGCTTCAGAAAATGCACTGACGGTATCACTTTGATTGTTATCTACATTTAACAAAACATTGCTACATTTTACTATTGGGGTTATTCGATTTACTGAATCACTTAATGTTGAATTTACTTGATTACTTGTAAAACTTTTTCCATCTAATGCCTTTGACGTAATTTGTGTTTTTAAAGGTACTGTAGGTTTTGTTGTAGATGTCGTTGTGCTTTTGTCGTAAGAGTAATCAAATATTAAATCATTTGTGTTATTTTTTGATGTCAATAGTTCTTCAGTTTGTGCTTTTTCGACATAATTTTTTTTAAAGTTTGTTAATGATATATCACTAGCTATTGCCATGTGCTGTGAAAATGATGATGACATCGTAGATTGTGGTAACGTTTGAGTCGTAAGTAATAACATTGAATTGCTTTTGGTTTCGAAAATTTTGTCAGTAATAAATATATCAGGTGTGCGAATAAGTTTTCGTTGTTTTAATTTCAAACTTCTTGAAGGTTTTTTTAGATTTTCTGTATATGGGATATTATCACTTCTTTCCTTGAATAAATTTTCTAGTTTAACACTTTTACCCGATTCTTCTTTATACACTTCTACATGTTTGTGTGCTTTCTCAGTACTTCTTTCATCATTTTTATAGTCCGATTGAGGTATTTTATTAGTTTTGTCGTGTTTGTTATCGATCCTTTTGCTAATAGAATTTTTTTCCATAATGCGGGATTTTAATTTTATTTTTAAAAAATTTAAAAATTAAAAATTTTGGTTTATTTTAAAAGTACACATAGTCCATTCTTACATTTTTGTGTTTTATATCTGCATATGATTGCGAAAATTTCCTTTATTTACAATTTAAAGACAATCAAAGAATATTTTTTATGAATTTTTTATGATCTTGGGCATTGAGCACTAACAGCAGATGAAACTTGACCGAATTAATTATTGATTTTTCAATTAATAAAAACAATTAATTTTTATATAAAAACATGTACGTTTTTTTATTTTTTTTATTTTCATTTCTATGACTGAAAAGTATTTATTTTCATTACAGGATCATAGATCTGAAATTGAAAAATTTTAGTGTTAGTTGATTATATATATTTTTTAATTTTATTATAATGTGACTCCAATTTTTTTGCTTTTCCTATTTCATATTTTAAAAGAATTCAAAAGGTTTGCCAAGCCACTAATACTTGTAGGTAAATTAGAATAAAACAGTAAAAAATAATTTAATAAAAACTAATAACATATTTTTTCGATATTTATGTTACTCACGTAGTTTTTATTAAAGGCAATAAGAAAATCATTTATTTTGTAGAACGTTTATTAAAAGGTTTGGAAACATTTTTTTCCTTGCTAACTGTTAATGGTCTCTTCATTTTGTATTACAATTGGGTAGTTAACTTAAGATTAGTAATATTTTAAATATTACTATGTTATATAAAAAAATCTGATGTGATCAGCACATAACCGACCGCAATATGTATTCTCTAGTTAAGTGAAAGTATTACAGAATATTGTAAAAATGTCTATTAATACAATTATAAAAAACTTCTTTCCAATTTTGAGGACATTAGTAAGCTTATAGTTAACATACCTAGAAAAATGTAAATTTGGCTATTAGTAGAGTTTCACTTTGTGCTATCCAAATTCTCTGAAATGCTCGCCAGTTAGTTTCGGTAACAACCAGAACTCAAATATCAAATTTCAAAAAATTCCATCGACTCGTTCCGTAGATATGGTGAAAAATGTAAAATCGGCCCGCAGATCAGTTTTTGAGCCCTGATCTTTTCAAAAAAATTTATATATTCATTGTTTTAATACGAAGAATTTATATATTAAATTTCAATGAAATCGGTTTATTATTTCTCTTTATGTACGCAAAAATGCATATTTGGGCCATAGTTAACGTCCAGTTGCTTTTTTTCAAAAGTTAAGAGGTTTCGCGGACGGTCGAGTTGACCTTATATATAAAATTTCAAGTAAACCGGTTGAATATTTTCTTCAAAATGTTCAAAAATGTAAAACAGGCCCGCTAAAAAGTGCAGTTCCCGAGGCCTGATATATACCAAAAGTTGATCAATCCGTGCCACGATCGAAATAAACTTACATAAAAAATTTCATCAATATCGATTCAACCGAACTTGAGATACACGCGAGCACACACAGACCGACAGACCGACAGGTTGCTAAAAAAAGTTTACTTACACTTCCCTACTATGGAGAAGTGCATTCCCGCCGAAAACTCGATATGCAAAATTTGTTGTCATCACATAACCTACCTATTGTATACACAATACGGTCGGTAAAAATAGCCATACATTTCGTTTTTCGAAATAATTTTTGTTATCTATATTATATTACACAAGCTAAATTCGATGGTGCAACCATCGTGTATTTTCGCTTACATAGATATTCTTCAATCTTCATTTTCGGAAAAAAAACTTACTCTCTAACTCTCCCAACCTTTTAGGTATTTATATCACATCATAAACGGTACACAGATTTAATACAGAACTTTTTTTATTTTTCGCGTTATGTTTATTTTCTCATAAGTTTGATAAACCTGTTACGCAGCAGAAGCTATCATTGGTTTATTATACATTTTCTGCAAAATGAATGATATCGACAAAGGAATATAATTCGTGCATGAAGCATAACGTACATAAATTAAAGTAATACTCGAAAAAGATTTTTTTTTATATTTGGTTTTTCTATTAAACTTAAGTAATCAAAAAAGTTTTGCGGTTATTACATGCATTTAAATTATGTTATTACAAAAACGAGAAAAAATAGGGTTGACCGTGTCAAGTCTGTGATATCCGTACGAATTTGTTATCCTATGTGCGAATTAATATGTTATAGCTGACTATGGGACTACTACGACTTTAAGTCGTTGTCACATTACAGTACTGTGTTTTCAATATTTTCTTAGATATAACCAAACTACTGTTTAGTGGTAGGGCAGCTACCAGAAGGAGCCAAGCAATTTCAACGACTTTTATTAAACACATTGGCCCTACTAATATATTCACTTGTGCGAAATTTCAATACCAAAGCTTTTATATTTTCTAAGATATAGTCAAACAAATGTTAAAGTTGTATGACAGCTACACGAACCCCGATCATAACTAATTTAGACCATAACCCCGATCATAATAGTTTCCGTGAAATTTAATGTTTCAGGGTGCTAACACCATGAACTCATAAGTTTTTTGGGAATATCTGGGTCGGAAACCGAACCAGGGGCCGAAATTTTATTTGTTATCATATCTATGAAACTAATTGATGGAATTTCTTGAAATTAAAAAATTAAATGACGAACTTTTCATGGAATTTGGTTAGCGTAAAGTGAGCTACGGTAGGTTCGTCACCTACCTAGTAAAACTCAATGACGTCAGAAACTGATTCATGGTTACTTACAATAATCATGCACTAGCCCTATGTTCTTCCTAGGAACGAATTAGGACAAAAAAAAAGTGAGCTGAAATTGAATTTATGTATATTCTTTTAGGTATGATAACTAAAAGCCTGAAATTTGTGACAAGTACTTAAAAGGCATTTTAGTAGTTTTATGCAACATTTTTACTAAACTGTCTTGTGTTCAGTTGTATTGAACGTATTAGGTTTTTTTGTATGTAAATCAATATCTTGCAAAAAATATTAAAACATATTATGCTAGTTAATATTTTAAGTTTATATGGAACTTATTGCGTATATGACATCTGTATGTTTAGCTTCATTTCAATAAGAATTTATTTTTGTAGAGCATTCACACCAAATATGTGATTGTACAAGTACTAGAGCTAACCAACATAAAGAATTGAACTTTGTAATTTTTGGCACTTTTCAAAAAAAATTTTGAAAAGAAGTGCTTATTAGTTTCACTCTGTCCGTCCGTCTGTCCGTGTGTCTCTTTACAAAATTTCTATATCCTTGAAGATAGGAAGCAAAAATTTTATATGTACATAGATCTTTTTTAGAAACTTATTTCCGTAGAACAAAATTTTCACCTATCTCTGCCCCTCTAAAAGTTATACTCGTATCCCCTTAAACCCTAAAAATGGTATATTTTAACCACTTATTGCAGTGAAACAATAAGCATTTCTTAAATTTTGTAAAAGCTGAAAAATAATGGCTTGCTTCTTCTATTTCGGCATACAATTTTTAAAATTTGTTCCCATCTTCAACCCTTTTCAATTTATCAGCTCTCGAAATTTGTAAAAATTTAATATTTGGCATCCTTTATTTCCGAAACCACAAGCTCTTTCAAATTTGTAGAAACGCTAACGGCAAATTCTATGCCATTAAAAAACATATGTTAACACCTATGAGCATTATGTTAACACCTCTTCATATTAATTTTTCCTTTATTTCAAAGACTTCATAAATCATTCATTCTAAATATATGTAATACTAGAAATAATTTCGTTAATGAGTGAAAATAATTGTGTGGTAGGTATACATAGACTGTTTTTAAAAGAAGTATTTTCACTGGTTGAAGGGAAAAGTTCTGCAATACGATCCATTGGTTTGACCCAACTTTAATGTTTTGAAATTTAAGTTCATGTTCATTTCAAATTATTAGTCATTGAATGACTATAATATGCACTGCGGGTAATTTTTTATATAAGCTTATCTAAGTTTTAATTATCCTTACTTCACACAATCAATTACTAATGCATATACATTCATATTTTAACAAGTTGAGTTTCAATTTTTTACCTGTGATCAAATCTAAAATGCAAAAAATGGTGAAAATAAGAAAACTTATATACGTTGAAACATTGTTGAGCATACAAATAATTAAGTGACGCAGAGATAAATTTGATTTGTATGGAGAAAAAAAAAACTTGAAATTTTATAAAAAAACGTAAAATACTTAGTTTTTCTAATTTGTAGGCTTACACCTACAATGTAGGTTTGTGATACAAGAACTTAAAGTAAGTCGCTCGCAAGTGAGCATGGACTCTACGAAACCTTTTATATTTGCTCATGGGTTATACGATGGAACTCAACCTGTTAATTTTGTTTTAATGTTTTCAAAAATATTTGAAATTAGTGAAAAACAAAAACTAATTCAATTTAGACCGCAGCCTGAGCCATATAATGGTAAAAAAATCTTTTGACAAAGGATTATATTATATCTACCATCAAATCTAATTAATGTTATGTATAAATTATAAAGTCAACACATAAAATAATAAAAATAAAATGAAAAATGCATTTAATAAAATTATCTACTAAGTAATAAAAATAATAAAAAGTATTTAACAATATAATTTTTGAAAATCAAAATAAAAGTTAAGATTCCAAACCTGAAACATTCATTGATTTGTATTTGACAAAAGACATTTCTTTACTTTTTTCTTAGAGATTGACATATTGTCGATATTTTCCATTTCAGGTGGAAAGTTGTTATATCTTTTAAGGCGGAAAAACAATATTTATCTAGTGCCTCCAAAAGGCGTAAAAGGGGACCTGCGAAACGGTTGTCACAACTAACCATCCCCACAAAAGGTAAAGACTAATTCAAATTAGACCGCATCCTCCAAGTGTTTGAGGGTGTTTCCGACGCAGCACCCTCAAAAAAGAGCTCACTGGAGAGCAATGCTGAGAAATAGCTCCCGAGAACTTTTTTCAACAATGTCTGAAAAAAACCTCTTGCCGGGAGAAAGTGGTGCAAATCAAATACAATAGCTTATTTGATGCAAAAATAAATAGCTTATTTGATGCATGGTCTGCACCCTGATGAAAGGCTATCCGACGTATAGGTGGGGAAAATAGAAGTAGTCATCATGGACGAAATGGATACAGTTTCCGATTCTCATTCCTATTTACTGCACCGTCACAAAGAGATGGATCAGCCACTTGCAGTAATTGAGACACTAGGGATTAAATTACTACTGTCTGCAGTTAACTAAAACCCTGAGGTGGATGTAACATAGCTGTGTTGGACGGCGAGATTAATTCAAAAAAGCACATCTGTGTGACTTACTTCCCAAAAGATGAGACAACCGTTATTCTTTCAAGGGAAAAATTT